CATAATCAAATAAAAATTCCTGACAATTTCAAAAATTTATCGTGAGAATTTAACGTAAACGACTAAAACATAAATTTGCAACAATCGAGCACCCTTATCCGTTCACATTTTCCAGAAACGTTTCAAAGAGAAAATGTGCCACTCCTCAAAACTAAACCTCCTGCCTCATTAAACTGACAAGAAATCGTCTGTGTTCTGAGAAAATGGTTAAAACATGACAAAATAGTCTCCATGGCAACGACACGGTGCCATACCAACTGTCAAAATTTAAAGTCGCTGATAAAAAGAAATCAAAACGCCGTGAAATTCGAAAATGCCAATGCTCACGCATTGCACGGTGTCCCGACATTGGAACATCTTCGAAGTCTGTCAGTAAAAAGTTCGTAGCAGAAAAGACGCAATAATATAATTTTCGGGGGTTGGCAACAATTTTCTCGGCGTCTGCGCCCTTTCGAAAATCGCGAGGCTGAAAACACGAGTAGGGCTGTGCGGTGATGCGGTAAACCGGTGATTTTTTCGGTGATTTCAATCACCGCATCACCGAATCTTGTTTTTAAAATCACCGGTTAACTGCTTTTTAAAAATCACCGGTTAGTCACCGATCACCGGTTAACCACCTAACACCGGTTCACTCTACCAAAAATGTCCTGTCAATGCCGTTAATTTATTACCAGTTTTCACTGTACACGCAAAGAAATATCAACTAGACCAGAGCTAATTTGTTTATCACGCAGTTTTTAGCGCCACAGCTAAAAAATTTGCTGCGCCACTAGCGACCTCTGCTGAGTACGGCCATGAATTTAGCAAGGCGTCTGCTGCACCTCCGCCTTTCGAGTTCTTGTTCTTTTGTCCATTTTGGCAAACTTTTGTCACTGTTAAAAAAATCTGAAAATTCAGACCACTTTTGTCAGACTTGGTGGTCTAAATCTATTTTTCAGACTGTTTCAGACTGCTTGTCTGAAAATTTTGCCTTCCGGTATGAAAATTGCGACCTGTCGTCTCAGAACCTGTATTAGACCAGCGCAGTCTGAAAATTTAGATGGTTAAGTCTGAAAATTGGACCAACCCAAGATTTCGTTTGTCGCTAGATGGCGCGCATTTGTGGAACTACCTACTCGTTTAAAGGCTTCTTATGTGAAAATATTAGTTGAAAAGTTCCAAATTGACAGGACTTTAAACGGCATATGAGAACCATTCTCTGCTGCAAGATTTCTCGTAAAAGAGTGGAAGTTTAACAATCCACATTCTAAATTTTCCTCCGGGGTGGCTCAGTGTCGCATTTCCTTGGGTGCCACAGGCCGGCCTCTCGAGAGTCAGGGAAAAGGACAGAGGCTTCTCCCCCATCACAATTTTTACCCAAAGTTGTCCTCTCTGGAGGTTCACACACACCTGAGATTCCTTCTATGTCATTTGAACATGTCACAAACCCTTAAAGTTCACAATCTTCGTACAGGACTAAATTTTTCAGACCACCAAACTCTTGATTTAAGACTCTCGAGTTCTGAATTTTCAGACCATCTAATGGTCTGAATTTTCAGACCTCAAGTCTGTAATAACTTCTTACCAATTTGGTCTGAATTTTCAGACTTTTTTTTAAAACAGTGGTTTTCTGGGTCGCTAAATGACGGCTGCTAAAACTGCCTAGCTGTGCTGCAAATAATTTGTGAATAGAGAGAAAAAAATTTTCTTTCTTCTTAATATGTTTTTCGCCCCCGGGTGTGATGGTGTGTTGTATTTTATGATGTTTTATCGTGTTCGCGGGCTGTACTTGGTGATCTCTTTGTAATTAAACTATTGTTAGAAAAGAATTATTTTGTGGTTGTTGTGGTTGCACTGAGTGGGAGGGGCAATAGTCGGCGTTATTTGCAGTACGCAGGCCATTTAAGTTCGTTCTTTTGCGAAAGTGTTCTCTTTTGATGGCCAACAATGCTTTTGGGGAAAGGCCCCCAAACCATACCCTAGTTTTCCCCCCCTTTTCTCTTTTGATTTGGACAACGAATGAGTAGGTGATGGCTGACGCGTTTGTGGTGCGAAAGTTGACCGATTGGGGTCTTGAAAAGTACGTGGATGAATTCAAAGGTAAGTTCTTCACCAAACTATAACCCTCCTCCCGTGAGTTTGTGGCACTGGCTCCATTATAACCGTGAACGTCAGACGTGCTTAGTGACAGCAAGCATTCGCTAACGTACTTGTAGATAGTCCGTGCTGTTTTTAAGGACAGTTTGTTTCTTTGAATTAGGTGTGTCACTGTTAATGAGTATTGTCGCTTTCAAATGATGTGCTGTTTAGGTTACTTTCTTGGTGTCACAGTGACCCGTTTCATTTTATCTCACAACAACATAACCTCTCCGTAACCATGCTGCCGGCACGGTTAGGCGCTCGGTTAGGCTTCAGAATCGGTGCATCTCATAGCGTTTATTTTCCACGCTGCTGAAATGTGTTTGCCCAATTTTCTTTGGCTTTAACTGTGGTTTTCATTTTGGTTTCAGAAAAGCAAATCGGACAGTTGGCATTTTGTTTGCTCCAAGATGACAATATTGCTGAGTTGATTCCTGGGTATGGAGATCAAGTTGTGTTCAAACATCACTTCAAGAAATTACCTCAGGCGAATGTATGTATTTGTATCATCTTGATTTCTTTCATTTGTATGTGTGTTGTGAGTGTTGCTAATGCTTCGATTTTATTTCAGGACAACATTATCTTTGACAAGAGCGTTACCGTTCTCAACACCTCAGACTTAGGACTATTGAACGGCAATGCAAATGGCTCCAGCATTCTTCAGGACAACAATTTCAACGTCCTGACTGACAATACCCACAACAGCAACAGCGTTGTCCTGGCATCTTTGCCATTAGAGTTTGAAAGTAATTTAAGTAACCCATCACCTTCAACATCAACTGGATCTTCTCAAGTCAATGTTGATGTAAGTGTATTTCAAATTTAAATCTATTGTCTGCAATGCTTTTGTGAATGTGTATTGTCAATGTGTATCGTGACATGTCCCTTTCTTTGCCAACAGCAACTACGGAAAATTGTCAAGCAGTCTGGTTTTGGCAAAGCTTTGCTTGACTTGAAGCGCAGCCTTCGTTTAAAAGAGAGGCGAAGACTTAGTGATTTTATTATCAACTATCATTTGAGGTCCGACCCTCTACAGAGGTATGTCTTAATGTTTGGTTGTTTTGTCGACATTCTTGGTTCTATCTTTTCCTAATCAAACTTGATTTGCAGGATCTACCCTTCAGAGTTCGTTGTTTGGGCTGAGCACCTCAGTATTATTTTTCCTAAGGATGGGAAGGTGAGTTATCATCCATTTTGCCAGTTGTTGCCACTTTATTATGTGTTCCTAATTTGGAAAATAACATGTTTCAGCACCTTTGGTATTCCCCAAGAGGCAAGACAGGAAATGAGACGATTCATGCTCATGGTCCTCTGTTAGCTGCTTATTATGCTGCAAGACGGGAATATTCTGATATGCATGACGAATGTTTGTCTGATGAAGATGAAGATGGAGATAATGTTGCACCTGAACCTGGTAAGTAATATGGAGTAATGTGGCATTTGCCCTTCAAATTTCGTTTAATTTTAATTCTTGTATAATTATCTTATTTTCAAACATTTTTCTTCATTAGATGACACTGTAGCTGATATTCAGTGGCTGTCATCATACCTTGAGCCCTGGACCACAGTACAAGAAAAGTGGCAGAGCACTGCAGAGGCCAGAATGCGAGTGAGGAGTGGCAAAAGGTTCAATGTAACTGATTATTTAGAACAATTCAAAGTTCTTCGGCAACCGACTGGGCACTTGCTGGTAAGTCAATTAAACCTCATTACAATTTCTTGAATTTAATAAACAATAAGGCTTTCATGATGTTTATTTTATTTCATTTCAGATTCAAGCTGACTTTCAGTCCATGTATGAAGAAAAGGCAACCAATCTGTTCAACAATATTGACACTTTCATTTTGAAAGTTTTTAATGAACTGAAGACTGTGCGCCCTTGCTCAAAGGAGCTCAAAGCAACTTTAAAAAAACAAGAATTAGCACTGAAAACATCAGGTAAGTTTCTTGATAAAGCAACTTTAAGTTATGTTCTCAGGATTTTTCATTTCTTTCATTTCCATTTTAAGAGTCAATTGTTTCAGTTGAAGCACGTTTTGTCTTGCCACTACCAATTTTTTTAATGCTAGCTGTATCTAATTGTGCTCTTTATTTTACTAGGTAAACTATCTACCAACGTAATTTTGATGCATTTGTGCCATCTCGTGCCAGTTGCAACTGTTAGTAAAAAAAAACAGAAAGGAGTCTTGGAAGAAGTTAAAGGATGGAGACCAAGCAGACAAGAGGTGCAAAATGGTTTCATGACTCACATTGAAGTAAGTATTTATTTTTACTGTCTGTCTTTATGTTGTGTTTCCTTATTCTTACATACTGCTTTTTCTTTCTTTCCAGCATGTTTCCAAGCTTCAAGAGACTATTAACAGGAGGGACAGAAAGTTCTTTGATATCAAGCAGACAAAGCAACCCTTTGTAATTGTCGTTGGCGAAAACCTGGACTCCATTTCAGCATCATATGTTTGTATAAATGACTTCTATTATCTTCTGAACACGCCTTTAGAAGCTCTAGATGTTTGCTTTAAGGCTGTTTTTGCATTAAGTGCAAAATATTCAATTGAAAGCAGGCCTTTATGGATGCTCTTGCAAACATTTGTTTATGGTATGTTCACACCTCATGACAAGCTTAGTGCAACACCATCAACTGTCAGCCTGCTTGCTCGGTTTAACATCAGTCTTCAATGTTAGATTTAATTCTATTGTTATTAATTTGTTATTTGTTATTGTTATTTGTATATCTATTTATTTGGGTATTGTTTACAAATATTTAAACTATTGTTTTTGGTGACTTACTATCTGTGTTGTAGTTATTATTGTTATTGGTATTTTGACTTTTTGTTGATGTATAATAAGTGTTTGTGTTCTTGACAAGTTAAGTATTTTCTGCAATGGCTGTGTGTACAGAGTGTAAGACTGAGACCTTGTCAATCCAACGTTTGGAACTTCATTTACAAATGAATCACCAAATATTTATTTCTCATGGCTTTCGTTCTTTTAATTGTTCTGATGGTGATTGTGGTAGGGACTTTATAAATTGGAAAACATATCGTAATCACTTAATACGTGACCATAAAGTTCCTTTGAGTGTTCATGATGTTTCTAATGTCTCTGGAGAGCCCCCCCCAAAAAAGTGTAAACTAAGTACTTCTGATACTTCCAATTGTTCTAATGTTTTCAACATTCCATGTTCAAGTGTAAGTTTGTCTGGTGAATGTAATAATGAGGATCTTTTCCAAGATACTCCTGCAAATTCTTATGAAAGTCCTGATATTAATTCTTTGAAGGAACCAATTCGAGGTATGTCAAACCAGTTTTTAAATGCATTGTACTCAAACAAGAGCATTCCCAGAAGTTATATTCAAACTATTGTCTCTGAAGTGTCTGTGTTCCTTGGAAATAGCCTGAAATGTGTTAGTGGGGCAGTTCAGACAGAATTGAATCTAGCTGGTGTTTCTTCACAAACCTGTTCCAATGTGGCTTCATATTTGAATGTTCTTGAAAATCCTTTTCGTGGTCTTGATTCAGATTATCTAAGACTTCAGAATTTTAAGAAGGACCCAACCTGGGTGGACCCTGAGGACGTACTGATAGGTGATGCTGAAGATCTGAACGCTTCTAAAGTCATCCCGATTGGAGTTAAAATGTCTTATATCCCATTGGCAAAGTCTTTGAAAGGCTTCCTTGAGTCTCCAGGTATTTTTGCTGCCATACTTGATTACATGAATTTCTTAAATTCTCAGCCAGATGGGGTCGTTTGTAACTTCATTCAAAGTGAGTTGTGGAAGTCAAAAGTGAAAGGCAAGCCAGGCATTCATATACCTATCTTTAAATTTTATGATGATTTTAATGTCAACAACAGTTTGGGACCCCATTCTGATTCTGGCCAATTAGGTGGGGATTACTGCAGCATCCCAGTGTTGCCCCCTAAATTCCGTTCTCTGGTTGACAATATTTTTGTTGTTTTATTATTTAAATCTCATGATAGAGAGTTGTACTCAAATGATTCTGTTTTCCGGAAAGTAATTGATGAATTGGAGGACTTACAAACAAATGGTGTAACTGTATCTGTTAATGGCATTTCTCACTTGGTTTATTTTAGACTTGGTTTAGTTATAGGTGACAACAAAGGAGTCAATTCAATGTTTGATTTTGTTTCATGCTTTACAGCAAATCATTCCTGTCGTTTGTGTAAGATACATAGGGATGCACTTCACTTTGCTGGCAAGGAGGACAGTTCACTACTAAGAAATAAGGAAAATTATGCTGTTGATGTTTTAACCAACGATTCTTCATTGACAGGTGTTTCAAGAAATTCTGTTTGGAATAGTCTGACTGATTTTCATGTAACAGAGAATTTATCTCTTGATATTATGCATGATTTATTTCAAGGCGTTTGCCATTATGATATGGGCCATATCATAAGATATTTCATTCGTAAAGGGTACTTCACTCTGGATGAACTGAACTTTCATATTGCTACTCATGATTTTGGTTGTCTGAAAGGGGAGAATAGGCCTACAAGTATTCGTGAAGAGAACTTGAAAGAGCTCCATTTTAAAATGACCGCTAGTGAGATGCTGTGCTTTGTCCGAAATTTCTCTGTAATGATGGGGCATCTTGTGCCAAAAAATGATCCAGTGTGGTACTTTTATACTTTACTTCGCCAGATTCTTGACATTGTATTGTGCCCTTATGTAACTCCGCATCTTTGTGACCTTCTAGAGAGTGTTGTAGACGAACATAATCATCTGTATTATGTCCTATTTAAGGACACCTTAAAACCTAAACATCATAATTTGGTTCATATGCCTCGTATAATGCGCATGGTCGGGCCCCTTGTTCATATTTGGTGCATGCGTTATGAAGCGAAAAACAGATCACATAACGTTGCTGCTCAGGCTACCCGTTCTCGTAAAAATATCATGAAAACTTTGTGTATTCGAGAGCAAATAACACAGGTAACCAAAAATGATTTGTCCTCTATTTCAGATGTTGTGTTTAGTTCATTTAAGCACTGTGATGTCCTGGATAAAGATTCTAATTTTGTAAATTTTATACCATGTTTACCTTTTAAGAGTTGTATGTGTGCTTCGTATGTTAAGTTTAAAGGTATTGAGTACAAAGTTGATTCATTTATCAATATTGGCTCCAAAGATGATGGATCTCTCCCTCTGTTTGGGAAAATTTGTTATATCATTGTTGATTCAAATGAGGATTTCAGGTTCCTGGTTCATTCTTATGACACTAAACTTTTTTGTGATCATTTTCATGCCTATGTGATTTCCCACAAACAATATGATTTCAAATGTGTTAAACCTGAAGATTTGGTACAAACTCAGGTGTTTAATGGCAATATGAACCAGGGAAACATGTATGTGACTTCAAAATACATTGTTTAAGATGTTTATTAAAAAAACATTACAGCAACAGACATGCCGTTTTATTCCCCCAATTTATACCACTGAAGCTCTGAAAGTACATGCTCAAAGCAAATATTGTCAAGCAAGGGCAGTATAGTTTTTTATAACCCTAAGAAAAATATTCTTTGGTGACCTAACGGAATGGATGCGGGAGTATACCGAACCAACTGCACAGCCAGCACTAGAGAGCAAAGATCCTAATATTTTAGGACTGCAGATCCACGGTTTTATACACACTCCTAAAAAAAGTGCAGCAAAGGGGCCAACAGCAATTACAATGCTGTTGGAGAAAATTAGGTGTGCAGACAAGAAAAAGTTGGTGTTCCAGTTGTATCCATTTGCACTGCTGCTGAAGTGCTCCAGGAAAATATTTTTAGCAATACAGCTAAAAATTTAGCTGGGCCTACACAGCTAGTAAAATTAGCACTGGTGCTAAATTATTAGCTCTGAGTCGAATTTTTTTTTTGCGTGTAGGTCAATTCACAGCGTTTACTGTGATCTGCTCACGCGATTCACTGTGATCTTGTTCACGGTGTTTACTGTGATCTGGTTCACAGTAAACACTGTGAGTTTGACGCCGCTCAGCACCGAAGTGCTGCAAATCAGGCTCCAATTCACGGCGTTTACTGTGGCCAGATCACAGTGAACACTGTAACCGAGATCACAGTGAACGCCGAGAACTAGTTCACAGCAAACGCCGTGAATTGCATAACAGCAAACATTGGTAATAAATAAACGGCGTTGACAGGACATTTTTTGTAGAGTGTTAGTCACCAATCACCAATCAACGTCAAAACCGAGCTTCCAGAAAAGTCCGAAATAGCGGTGGCGGTCGTCGCGCGCGGCGAGAGTGTCCAAAACAGACAATAAGTTGACACAGAACGGCGGTGTGCGTGCCTTTTTGACTGTACTTAACAAAAAAAACGGGTTTTTACAACCATTGGGAACGAAAACAGCGGTGATTTGTTCATCACCGTTCATTTTTTTATCACCGGTGATGAAAAATTCACCGGTGATACGAAAATCACCGGTGCAGTTTTGGTCACCGTTCACCGGGGCAACCGGCGGTGATTCAAATCACCGTCACCGTTTTCAAAATCGAATCACCGCACAGCCCTAAACACGAGTAGTCGCGCATTGAAACTGCCCCTACATTGTTGCTGAGGTTGGATTGTTTGGCTTGCTTTTAAAGGCTGCGGTTCTCTTGTCGTGTTTTCCCCAATTCTGTAACCAGCACGACGGTTGGTTTGACAAACTTTATAAACTCGGGAGGGGTGGTTTCGGAACGCGGATGACTTTCGTTTGACGAACATGAGCACTGTAAATCGCGAGATCGCGAGATGGACTGAGATGGTCATTGTGTTAACTGAATCAGGTTTGGGGATGTAAAAATACCGGTAGGATTCAAAGTTACGTAAATAACGGTAAAATTAACGTGATTAACGTTTAGACGACAGACTTGAAATTGATTTGCACAACCAGAACACCGTGCAATGCGTTAGCATTGGAATTTTTTAAGATTAAGTAGGTTTGCTCGGAAACGGTGAGGAATTCTGAACTTTTGGGATTTTTTCCAGTTTTCCCATAAAATTTGGAATAGAATGGAAAAAACCGCAAGTCTCTACGACCACTCCTTGACCCCAAACATTTCTATGAGTGAGTGAGTGAGTCAGTCGGATTGGGGCTATATAGGTTCTTGATAGGTTCTTGATTTTGTTTGGTGTCATTATCTAACGAGAAGAGTTAGAATTCATTTCATGGTTAATTGCTGGTTAATTGTAGTTTCTCGTAAGGAATGTCTCCACATTGACTCATCTTCTGTTGCTGCCATGAATAAGATTGGATTCAATCTAAAGATGTTTCGTAAAACTTTTAATAAACAAAAGGTTGACTTATACACATAGGAATACATTTGCCCAACGAACTTGAGCTCTATTTTAAGGGGTTGAAACAATATTGCTGTATAAGTACTGAAACTGTTAAAAACTTTAAATATTAATGGTGCTTGGGAAACAAAAATATGCCATTTAAGAAACCTCTCGTTAAACAAACGAAATTCAATTCTGGTCCACCAAAACTATACATTTCTTCAAATTTCTTGGTAAAAATTAACAATAAAATTATATCAAATAAAAACAACAAAATAAATTTTAACAATAAAAATATAACAATGAACCGGAGAGTGAGGTGAAAGTTGATTGAAACGCTCGGGATTGTGGCATAGGCAGACATTTGTTGAGCTTTATCGTTCAGAGAAAAGTCTAACTACAATCTACTTCTGATGGTTGGAAGGGAAACGAACCAAGCAGTTGACCCGGAATCAAAACCACCTACAGAAAACGCGCATCTCCAAGTGCGCGTCGTGCAGCAGTCCGCAACGCGCCCCCGTGGGGTGGCTGTACATGATGCACTTGAGGTCGCCGGGGACATGGTGGCAGGTGTACTGCTGGCAGAACTCGCAAACGCAGAATTCATCACAATCGTTGCCTTTCATGACGACATGCAGCCTCGGGTTCTTCCGCAGTACCGCTCGCAGCCGCTGCCCGTGACTCCACACGTGTTTACACACATCGCGAGGGAGGTACACTGCCAGCCCCAGGAGTTGGGGCAGCACACTGCCGTCCAGGGCCTCCAGGAAGGCGTCCGTCGCCACGCAGTCGATGTCCAGGAAGGTCAGGTCCGGCAGGTGCTCCAGGATGCTGGCCAAGGGAAGCAGAGGCTTCTCCGCGTCCTCTGTGACGCTGTGCGAGAAGGCCAGGCGCCGCAGCGCCGCCGAGGCCGTCCCCGGGCCCCCCAGGCAAGCCACCACGTCCACCAACTCGTCGGGCTTGTCGTCGCCGAACACCAGTTCCACACTGGCAAAACAACGGCATAGAAACTACACTGTCAAACAAAGTCGGTATAAAAAACCATCTTGTCCCTTCTGCACTGGTGGACACAAAATTGCATCACCATTGGATATGTGCGTAAAACTGCATCATTCATGGGACGGACGGACAAAAAAGGTCCATGACATTTAGAGAGTACAGCACTGAGAATCCAACCCTATGAATTGGTGCAATGCAAAAGCATCGCACATGAAGTGCAATGCCTTCCCATGCCCATGCATTAGCATAAAGCAGTTTCGGGACGCATTGCACGTAACACACTAGATATTTTTGTACAAATTTTGTACGAGACATCACAGTTTTTTGTGCACACGAACTCGTACAAATTTGTACGAAATTTTGAACAAAAAGGGGAAACTTGTGCAGTTTTTCGAACTAAAATGGTACGCAAAGTTCGTGTGCACAAAAAATCGTGATGTCTCGTACAAAATTGTACATAACATTCAGTGTGAAGGTGCAATATGGCTGGGGCATTGCACTCTACAAATCAAAGAGTGTACATGGTACGCTCTAACTGAAGCATGCCTGCAAGCACGCTCTAGCTAGCGCATGCCTGCCAGGCATGCACTAACTAGTGCATACATGCCATGTACACGCTAACTGAAGCATACATTTATTGCATAAGGGATAGGGAGTTTTCTGCATCAAGAAGCGTGTACATGGCATGTATGCACTAGTTAGTGCATGCTTGGCAGGCATGCGCTAGCTAGAGCGTGCTTGCAGGCATGCTCCAGTTAGAGCGTACCATGTACACTCTTTGATTTGTAGAGCACGTATGGTGCGACATCTCAGTACATTGCGCCACGTGCTATACTCAAAGCGTTTGGAATCTCAGTGCAGAGACGAGTGTCCAGACTCTTACGCGAGTGCATACCCCCTCGGGGTTTACCTGTGCAGACGCGTCCCGGCCGCGCGAAGGAACGCCGCCAGTCCGGACAGGCGCGCTCGCGTCGAGTGCAGGCCTGCGTCGACGCGAAGGTCCAGGCGCAGGGCGCGCAGCGACGGGCAGTGCTGCAGAAGCGGCATGGCGTCCATCACGGTGCACTGCAGCTTGCGCAGACGGGGCATGCGCGACAGCAGGAACGCTGCATGAGCGTCAAATGTGGCGATCTTTACCTCCTGGTCGAAAAAAAACAAAAAACAAATATGCAAACTAAATATTATGTACAGTTTTTGTACGAGACATCACAATTTTTTGTGCACACGAAATGCTTGTAGAATTTTTGTTGAAGTTTAATTAAAGTTCGTCTTGGCCATCAGAGAGTAAGGTACATATAATTCCAGGAGTAGGACCTGACCTTTCGTTTGGTTCACTGCATGAGCAGTAGAGGGATTCACTATAAATTGTACCTACACCACTTAACCAATGTGACGTCATATTGGTTTAGAATAGAAATTTTGTAACATACGTTTGAATGCCAAGTCACGTTCAAAACAATATGTCACTCTAAAAACGAATGTGACAACGTATTCATAAGGACACGAAAAAACAATCAGATTCTACCAAATAAGACATGGTATGACACCAAATATGACCTTGAATAACAGTGACTTTCATTACTTCGGAACGAAGGAAAGTAAGGAATTACGAACTTGGCAGTTTTGGCCGAAAGGTTTTTTAGTCAGCACATTTTTTCCACCAGAAAAGAGCCAGTTGGTTTCAAATTCCGTTGGCAACTAAGCAGAGGTGTTCAGCGTGAAAGCCCCTTCGTTAGTACCTCCAGAGTTGCTGTATGTAACTTCAGTAGCACGCACAGGTGGAGGTCAAAATAGCCTCTGTTGTACACGAAGCTCAACCGTTGCAGTGATGCAGACACCAAGACTGGACGTTCCAGTGGCGGCAGCGTCACGTCACCGGGCATAGAGGGAATTGATATTTCCACCGATTGCAACCCTGGACAAAGAAGGAGAATACAATCACAGTCAAAGTGCAGTCGAAGTGATGGGTGATTTCAGAGCGCACACAAGTCTACACAATTTTGTACAAGATTGCTTACGACTTTTTACAAATCGGCACAAGAAAGAACTGTGATCTATCGTACAAAATTTGTAGAACAGTATTTGGTAAATTAATCACTGAAGAAAATGAACAATTTTAGAGGACAAAAAGCACCACACTCCCAATTTTTTTACTGTGAAATGCCGTGCAGTTTTAATATCAAGCAAATTTTTAGAATCCCAGAACAATTCTATCATAACACCGAGTAATTTGTTCGTAGTGTGAAAAAATCGTCGTAAGTTATGGAGAACCAACCCTTCATCACACTGCAAATCCAAGTGTAGGAGAGGTCGACACTATAAGGTGTGGACCAGTTTGTCCTACGCTTGCAAGTGTCTACCAGCTGTGTCCGACGCTTTGAAGTGTCGACCACACTGTGTCCGACGCCTGCATGTGTAGGACACTGTTAGTCCTACGGCAAATTACACTCAGTTTCCTGTGGCCCCACACTTCAGCCGTCGGACATGCTGTGGTCGACACTTGCAGGCGTCGAACACTGTGTGGTCGACACTTGCAAGCGTAGGACAAACTGGTCTGCGCCTTAAAGTGTCGACCTGTCCTACACTTCGATTTGCAGTGCATAAGTTTCAATTTTCACTGTGCCTTTTGCTCGTATAACGAGGAAGAAGCCCAGGAGGATTTTGGGAGGGCAGGACTCACCAGGAGTTCGGATCAACTGTAACAGCAATCCACCAAGCCTGCGCACCGCGGCATCCTGCGAGGCATGTCCCAAAACTCTCAAACGAACTGCCTTCAGGCGTCCGAAAGAAGCCTGCCTGTTACATGTAAAATTGATTTCCTTTCATCTTGTTTTATTCAAATGGTTCTCGATGACAAGTGTGGCCTTCCACATTGAAAAACCGACCATAGTCTAGACCACACCAACTGGTGTGGTCAAATGGGCGTGACATTTTGACCACATCAGTTGGTGTGGTCTAGACCACGCCAAACGTGGCCAAACTTGGTCTAGACCACACCAAACGTAGCCAAACTTGGTCTAGACCACACCAAACGTGGCCAAACTTGGTCTAGACCACACCAAACATCCCCAAACGTGGTCTAGACCACACGGAAACTGCCAAACTTGTTGCCACAACAGGGCAAAAGAATTTGACCACACCACACCAACTGATGCGGTCGAAATGGCACCCATTTGACCACACCAGTGGTGTAGTCTAGACCACGTTTGGTTTTTCGGTGCACGACCCGTGGATGGACTCCTTTTAGAACTTACCTGTCAAGAACCATGGCGACCATGAATGCGTCTGACGACCTGAAGGAGATGTCCAAGTCGTACAAGGAAAACTTCGAGTTGTTGATGAGAGCAGGGCCTACCACATCGAAGACTTTACCGAAGTCTGACACTTTCAAAAGGCCCAGGCAAGGGGCAAGGCGGAGAACGACGGTAGCCAAGCGTAGCTGCCTGTGTCTGGCCATACCCTTGTTGGTGTTGCGACCACCGGAGCTGGAAGAATTGACAGTGACACGTTCATCAGAATGAATGGAATGAAATTCGTTAATTAAGTGTACAGAAATTACCCGAGGGCGTATGCACTCTTCTCGAAACCTGTGACCCGACTACTACGCTCTATTACGCCTCCAAATAATGGGGATTTAGCTGAACACACCCCAAAACACTCGAAAAATGGATGAAAATTTGAGAATTTTGGGTGTCACGCCACTATTACGCGTGCTATTCCAGAGTGACACGACTATTCCACAAATGCATACCCCCTCGAAATTACCCCATTGTGTACAATAATGTAATGGACGAGTAAAACTTTAAGTTCCTTACAAGTATTAATTTTCAATTGATTGACGGTTCAGAACTTTTTGGGAACAAGCCAACTTGTTGGCATGCGGAGCTATGAAATTCCAAAGCAATATCCTTCCAGGTTGCAATATAGATTCAGAGTTCCGGACTCAGAAAAGAAATTTAAGGACTACCACACATGTAAGAAGAATTAAAACACAAGCAAAAATGTAGGAAGACATTTCAACGAATTCCTACAACGTGTCTTCAAAAATTTTGTTGAATCCACAACGCCAACCAGATTCAAAGATCGGCAGATTTTAACAAAACCACAGAAAGAAAGAAAAAATCACAATCGAAGGTATAGTTTGGCGAGGTGACCCCAGGATAACTCCGTAAGGAGCACCTCAAAAAATAGGGAACGAAAAGGATACATTCTTGAGGGGCAAGTCTCGCCACTGATTGACAAAACATGTAAGCATAATTAATGACCTTAGTCCATTGTATTACAGTGCTTGCTTTAAAGCCTACACACTGAATGTTATGTACAATTTAGTACGAGACATCACAATTTCCCCGAAATCGTAACTTTCGTCAAAATGGCACAAAAGTTATCGTTATAGTAAAATTGTAACCCTAACTTCTGACAAAATTTTTTTTTAAAAGGGTAAGTGATTTTTTTTTGTCAAAATTTGAACAAAAACATAGGGGGAAGCCTGGTTTTCTGCCATTGCGGTTGGAAAAGTTATTCTTCAAGTCTGTCTCCTCCGACCAGCTGTGTGCAGCGCCGCTGCTTTCCCCCTGGGGGAAAGGCCCGGCCGGGGTCCTCGGTGAGATTTTGCACACTTCTCCGGGCAGTCCCTTGGCTAGGTGAGAAAGCGAAATTTCAAAATATCCTTAAGCTCAAACGGGTGATAGATTTTATTTGCCGAAAAAACCCAAAAAGCGGCAAAAATCCCCAATTTCCTGCAGGCAGACCACTTCTGTCTTGAAGAAGGGGGGTCTGGGGGGCAGAGCCCCCCAGCCCCGACAAGTAAGAAAGTTACAAGGGATCTAGAATGAAGGGGGGTCTGGGGGGCGGAGCCCCCCGGCATGCATCAAGTCAGAAGTAACCGACTATGGACAAGCCATTGCCTGCCGAAGGCAGGCTAGCGCCGCAGGCCAAGGTAGGTACGCCAGGCGCGGATTGGAGGAACAGGCAGCGGGACATCGCGAAGCCTGTTACGACAAGACGCGGTCTGGCGTAAACCTACCTTGTGAATTTGTGTAGAGATACTTTTGGAAGTACTTCCAAGAGTCCGTACCCTTAACCTTTAGCGAACATTGCCTTATGTTACGTTATGAAAGCAGTGTTAGTTAAATGTTAAGTTAAGGATCTCTGCACAATTTTTGTGCACACGAAATTTTCGTACGATTTTTGTACGAAAAATTGCACACTTTTCGCCATTTTTGTACCAAATTGTACAAAATTTAGCACAAATTTGTACGAAAAGTTCGTGTGCACAAAAAACTGTGATATCTCGTACAAAATTTGAACAAAAACATTTAGGGTGTAGTCTGGTATTTGGCGTTTCGGTTGGCACTAGAACGTACATTCTCAAGGTCTGGCTCCTCCAGACCAGCGGGTGCAGCGCCAGCTGCTTCCACCTGCGGCAGACGGCCCGGCAGCGCAGAAGAGTGGCCGGAGTCAAGAAAGTCAGAGCATGCAGCAGCACTTCGTCCGGCAGCGCCGAGAACTCCATTCTTCGGGCAGAGTGAGAAAGAGAACAATCAAGAATATGCCACGTTAATGGATAACAAATGCGGGATAGATAGATTAATTATTCGTCGCCAACTGAAGAACAAGAAGAATCACAAAGCCGGACATGGCGCCCGCAACTTCACCTCACTCACCCGTCCGAGTACATCATACCTAATGACTCTGCAAAATCTCCGCCAGATCGGCCGAGCCATTCCGGAGGAGTGCACTCTAAATGCCTTACGAAGAAATTTCCCATAATACGAAGGAAATGGCGCAAGCATAATCCGAAGGTGGTTTTTCTTCGTATTACGAAGGTTTTTCTTTGTATCTTACAATGAAAAAGCTATAAAATATTTGAATAGACCCTTTCAGTCTTCGCCGAGTGAAGAACAAAGGTTATCAAAAATCCAGGAACCACTATAGGAACGTTCCTACTGGTTCCTGGCTTTTTGATTACTTTTGTTCTTCACTCGGCGAAGACTGAAAGGGTCTATTACGAAGGAATAATGCTTCGTATTATGCTTGCGCCGAATTCACTGTAACATACGGATAACGTAGGTCCAATTTCATTGTAAGACATTTAGAGTGTGGTGCACTGTGGGAAAAAAATCACAGTAAATCCTGTAGTGATTGGTACAGCTGTCACTGTAGTTCAGAGTACAGGATTTACTGTACTTTTTTACAGGATCTACTGTACTTTGTTCGGGATTTACTGTACTACAGGAGTAGAGTACGGAATATCCTGTACCAGGTACAGTAAATACTGTAGCCAGACGCAGTTAATCCTGTGTTCTGAACTACAGTAAATCCCGGCAGAAAAATTAACGGGATTCACTGTGTTTTTTTCGCACAGTGTGCGGACACGGACACACACGCACGCAGACAGGAAAAAATTTTCAACCTCACCTGAGTAATGGGCTTCGCTATCGCTCAGCCAACCAGGCTCACTACCTCCTCCCAATCTACTCTATTTCCGGTTTTGAGATTCTTCTTGTTCTTTAGGCGAGGACGACTAGAATCGTCTATTTTAGCGTTAGATAGGGCTCCTCCGAAGCTGTAGCCCGGAAGAACAAAACCGCTTGTGAGAAATGGCAGTTCCTACGAGAAATGTACGCTACGCAGCCCCAGAACTCATCCACGGTGTATATTTCCCTAAGGAACTTCCATTTCATATTTCCGTTTTTGTTCATCTCCTTCCCCAGGCCACAGCTCCTTTCGAGTACCCTACTGGCCTGATTTACTTCATGCCTTCGGTAGTCGTTCCCCCAGGTGAGATTAGCTTTGGATACTGGTAGGTGTACCGAAGAAAGTCAGTAATGGCCAATAGGCTTAGAGTGCAGAGGTGATGGTGCGATCTGATCTGGGCCTGACCTGCGTACTGCGTAACACTGGTCAAGAAAGAACAGAGCTAAGGTACTGCTAACATTAGACTTTACCAAATTTTTAAAGAGATCATATCTACAACGGTTCCTGTTTATCTCAGGAAGTCGTTGGAAATCGCCCGTGTCAGTGTAGGCCACCTGGGGAAACCAGTAACCGTTTTCGACCGGATTACGAGAGGATGTTTCAAACTTAAGTTGAACGCACCTTTCAAAAACCTTCACGAAACGTTTCGCAGGGAAATGGGGTAAAACTGTATTGACCAGCGTAACGCTGCTCACTGGAAAAAGGAAACATAAAGTGTTCAAAACAACGTTTCGTAACTAATGGACGACCCTTCCCCTTGTTACAGAATTAGACGTCCCATCCTACGGAGAGATCAGCGCCGAACTGGAAAGAAGTGCTACGTAACTCTGACACTGGAAGTTCCTGGTGCTCCTGTGACATTTCTTCGCGAGCTCACTGTTTCCGGGAATCTCGTCTACTCGTCATTGGAGCCATCTGCAGAATGGCCGAGGTGAGTGGTGCCTTTCATTCTACACTGTGGCTAAAAGGTACGGAAACTTCTGTAAACAGGTTGTGGTCATTCTCCGTAGGCCCCTTGTCAGTATTCTCCGTAGGCTCTTGCAGTATTTTCCGTAGGACCTTACAGTGTTCTCCGTAGGGCTATACAGTCCTCCAGGCCCCACGGAGAAGACTGTGCGGTCCTACGGAGAATACTGTAAGAGCCTACGGAGAATATTGATAAGAGGGCTACGGAGAATCCTGGCAAAAAAATTAACAGAATTTTACGTACTTTTTTGCCACAGTGAAACGTCTATCTTCGTGTCTCCTCGTTGTCTCGAATCCTGTGGTTTACGATTAAAGCTCAACCTAATGAACGACAGCCTCTGTTGGGCAGTGATGGGCTAAATAAAAGCAAGGGCCACAGCATTCAGACACATATTCCGCCCCAAAAAGTGAGATAGGGCATGTCAAATTTGTCCCGGGTTATAATGTTATGCGTAAAAGTGTCATTTTTGACGTTAAGACTCAATTTTGAGCCCTCTGATGGGCAAGAAGGGGGCGGCCCCAGCCAAAACTGTCTTGGCACTAGTCTTACAGTATCCTGAAGGGGGGACCCTGGTGAAAAAATGACCAAAACTGCCAAAAATAGTATTTTCCAAGCTCTCAGATGAAAATGTGCAAAGAAGGTTTCAGATTCAACAGGTTGAACACCTTTAAACTATGTGGGTAGTTACTTCATCATTGAGGAAGAAATAACATTGAGATCAGTTGTCGTTGCCTTACGCTCAACTTCACACCTTTGCTCAGTCGACAAAAAATTTTGTCGTTGAAAGACTTCTTGTGTTCCTGGTCGACACCTATATGAGTCATCTTGCATGGACTCCATTCATTGATGACTTGTCGACAAATTTTAGTGACGGTATCTTGATATCAGCCCTACGTTTTTTTACAAACACCTAAAAGTTTGAAAAAAAAGGCAAAAAAAAACCTTTTTTTTAATGTTAAAATTTGAGAATTCATATCTCAGGGCAGAAGTTGAAATTGAAAATTCCATCACTAAAATCTCTCCTATACATCTTTAGGATAACCCAAAAATATTTTGAAGACTTTCCGTTCCAATGAAAGACGCAGGAAGATTTTTCCCCAATGAGCTCAAAAACACTAAAAAGTCACTTTTCTCAAAGACCGTTTAACATATTGGATTGAATTTTGTTTTGGGAACTCACCATAATCAACCTAATAATTAAGCAAAGTTTCAACTTTCTGGGATTATTTTAAAGCCTACTTGAAAGTTTCCCCCTTTAAGGTCCCTTTTCTGTGAAAAAAATTTCGATTTTAGATCCATTGCTCCACCCTACCCTAAATAGAACACATACACACTCAAACACAAACCCTCACGTTTTGGCAGGAACCTCAGGATGACTGATTTAGGTATAAAGAGGCTATGAGAAAAAATTATGAGATATTTCTAATAGAAAGTTTTATAAGAGTGAAAGAATTTGCACTCCTAACCTAACCTGAAATCAGGCCGTTTTCAGATACTTTCCGAGAGGCGTCTTTTTATTCGCTTACTGGAAGGGTAACGCTAAGGTAGACCAACTTCCACGCAAGTGATTCTAGCAATCAGGATACATGATAAAACTTTCAAAATTGATCTTTTAAAACTACATAGGTGATAACCTAAATGATCTGGTACACCGAGGTACACCGATCCATGTTCGGCATTTCATCCTTGACACTTGTCTTACACGCAGTTTGACCAATTAAACCAAAGTTGTCAATAGGGTATTCTGACGAATCCCTGGACCGGAATTCAAAGAACAAAAGGAAGAACCAAAATCGCTTTTGCGCATGCGCAGCCGTCCACCCTCCACAGGCAGCAGCGTCTGCGCATGCGCAGGTGCCGTTTTGGTTCGTACTTTTGTTCTTTGACTTCCGGTCCAGCGATTCGTTAAAATACCCTATTGTGCCGTCCGGCCTTCAAATACACAGCTTAAGCGATTTTTTTTTTTGTGAATATGACGGCTTATGCTCTACAAATTGAAAAGCATAAGGTAAATAAAAAATTGTTATGAAAAATGCATTTTTAAAGTTTCAATTTGGAAGAAGTAGCCAAAGTAGCCTTCAGGCGTTTAAATATGACCCCTTGACTTCCTTTTGCAGCATAGGAGCACCGTCTATTGTCCTCGTTTACTAAGCTTCGCCTGTTTCGAAAGTAGGCTGTTTTGGCCCACAATTGATATTTGGAACCTTGTGGGTCAGCAATTTTTGACACTATCCGCGCACTAAGCCTTTTACAATTTCTGTCAAACTTAGGTTGAGTTTTAGCACTTCACCCATTATTCACCTAAATCGGCAAAGGCGTTCCCCTTCATTCCACAATTCGATTTTTCGAAAATGTTTCTAATACACTCTGCAAACTCAAGTGTGTGCCAGGCACACACTTCTTTTCTGCATGCCTGGCACACACTTGAGTTTGCAGAGCAGCCTTTTTCCCTCTTTTCCTTGCCCTCGGATAGGCCCAAATTTCCTTTGAATGTTAAGGCCTTCTTTGCTGCACTAAAGCTAGGTGGCGTTGTGGTCATTGCTCAGACATCCGCACCGTTTCAAGTGACAAATGAAAGTTGAGGGAAGACGCGTACTGAAATTCAAAGCGATAAGCTCATTCATAGATTTATACCGTCCAAAAAATGGTCCACAATTGATAAGGTGTTTCGGAGCAGCCCTGGCCCGGAAGAAGAAGAACAAAAACGGAAGTTAGAAACGGCAGTTTTTATGAGAAATATACGCTGCGGATGCTCATCTGGAGCGTATATTTCTCATAGAAACTGCCATTTCTAACTTCCGTTTTTGTTCTTCTTCTTCCGGGCCAGGGCTGCTCCGAAATACCCTATTCGTGACCCGCTCAATTGATTTTTGACTTTACATTGTATAATCTACCTGGGATTTCTGATACATCAAGGATTTCGTGAAATCGCATTTATTGTCGTCCGATTAGAATCCCTGTGGTCTTAGTGGGAAATTTTATGTTCTTCAAGATGCACTTTACCGATTGCAAAGAAGTTAATCTTTGCCTGGAATGGAGCGCGGAGTGACACCACATATAATTTTGCAGACCTTTTTTACGTGCTTCATGTTTATGCCTTATTTGATTGCTAAGACAGTTTTTGTTTCGAGTGTTGTAAAAAGTTTGATCTTTCACATGGCCACCGCCGTTTGTCTCCAGCATTCATGCAAGTCTTAGGGTAAAGTGCCGGACATGGATCTGGATCGGGGTACCAAACATGGATCATTTGTGTTTGTGGGTCTATATCTAAAAACCAGGTGACCAAATTCAAAATTCCTGTCTTTCCTAGCTTAGACTGACCCTTTGACTGTTAGATGTGAAGCTGACAAGTTTGCAACTGCCTCTCTCTACTCTGCAGGGTTGCGTTTAGAAAGACACTTAAATACTGTAAAAATTTGTTGTCACTTTATGACAAAAACGTGGATGATATTTTCATCACTTTGAAATGATGACAATCTCATCACAAATTGATGACATTTTCATCAAAGGCTCCTATACTCATTGCATGGGCGTGACAACAATGTCATTAATTGACCTGATGACATCCTTGTAAGGAAAATTAGCCATGAAATTGTCATCAAGTTTGTCTTGTCCAGGGGGCGGCAACGGCCTAGCAAGCGCGTGAGCCCATGCGCGAGTGAGGTGCAGGGGTTACTTATTTTGCTTCGATTGTAAGACCTAGCCCGTTGATTGCAAAACGCTTTGCACAGATCAAAAGGGCACAAAATTTGGGGTGCATTAGGCCTAGTAAAGTGCCCGATACTTCCTATTCAACCGAAGACACGGGCGGAATCATTTACGGAATCATTTACATCAACATGGCGCATTCGAGTTTTTTCCTCAATTTTGTGATTTTTGTGTTTTTCGGTGTTTTTACTGCACCTTAATATTAGGCAAGGGGGTACTTTCAAGAAGAGCAATTAGCCTAATGCACCCTATATTTCAAGCCCTTTCCATCGGTGCAAAGCGTTTTGAAAAACGCAGTCTAGTTTTCATAATCTCGAACAAGTGCGCAACCTCTGCACTGACGGCGTGAGCATCGCTTCACACTCTCCTTACAAGGCCGTTGCCACCCCCTGGTTTTATATGAATTTTCATAAGCAGGAAACGAAGAAAAAACAAGAAAGAGAGCGAAATTAATACAGATTTCAAATGCTACAGTTGGTTAAACTGTTAAACAGGTTGCACACCTACTGCGCATGTCCAAAAACACTCCCATCAAGAAGTATTATTGGATAGTTCTACCCGAAAAACTGCGTTCGAACCGACACCAATTCTATTGTTGCATCTTGTCTACCTGCAGTCAAAGAAATTTTTCATTTCGACCATGCTATTTCAGCTTTTGGAGTGAGCTGTACAGACCCAAAAAGAAGCTCGGCTGTCCGCCCCCGGCTCGGCTCCCCCCACTCCTTTTTTTTTCCTTTGACGAGTCGAGTTTTGCCATGGAAACGGCGATTTTGACAGCAAATTTCTCAAAATTGGCCACAAACTTTTTAACCAGATTTCAGCATGAGAATCAGCGTTCAAAGTTCTACAAGTCTGCAAAATCTCATTAAAATCGTATAGAAAATTTCCGAAATGCATAAAGGGCCACACAAATTGAATCTCGGGCCGGCTGAATCCTGGGTATACTATAAGGCTACTTCGTGCCTAAAAATGCGCACAAAGTGCTACTGCCCCCTTTGCTGTCCCCTTACAAGGGAATATATTCAGGTGATACACTCAGATTCCAGCCAAACTTTTTTTTTGGAAGAGAAACATATAAGATTAAGAATGCACATCAAAGTTGGTGCCTATATGTGTATATATATATATATTATATATATATATATATATATATATATATAATGAGAAAAAAAAATGCCTAATTACGACCGAAAATCTGCTCGTTGCATGTAAAAACATGGCCATTTTACCCTTTTTTTTCGGTTTTTAAAAAAAAACAGGAAAGGTCTGGATATGTATCTTGGCACCAACTTTGGGGTGCATTCTTAATCTTATAGGTTGTTCTTACGAAAAAAAGGTTTGGCTGAAATCTGAGTGTACCACCTGAATATGTTCCCTTGTTAGTAAAAAAAGAATTTGTCTGCAGGGTTAAATTTGCGGTCCTGATCAGCCTGGTCCACAGGTAATTTCGTACAAAGAACTGCTCGTTGCAATACAAAGAAAACGAAGGCTTCGCAGCCTACGAAGGAAGTCGTTTGTAACACCATGAGAGAAGGGCGCCCTTCTCTCATGGCAACACGAACAAATTTGTTTGTAATGCAAAGAAAAAGTCCTTCGCAGACTGCGAAGAAGTTCTTCGTAGGCTACAGAGGATTTTTATTTGTATTACGAACAAAATCGTTCGTATTACAAACGATTCTTCGTAGGTTACACTGAGAATGAAAGAGTCAGCACCATCGCCCTTTCATTGGGTAACGCACGCATCGTCGCCCAAATTTGGGTGACGAGCCCACGGTGACCAAATTTTGGGCAGTCATAAAATCGTCGCCCAAATTTGGGTAGGATCAGGGCGGGGAAAAACTGGACAGGGGAAGAACTGGACACCCCACATTTTACTTCAATTGCCGTATGTACTGACCTGACAACTCGAGGGGTCCTATTCAAAAGATCTTATCTGCGCGTTCCCTCCAAGACAATCTTATCTTAAACGCATGTGAATTTTACTCAGTTTGATCATTTAATACAGCTACAAATCAAAATCATTTGTGATAAAATTCACTTAAATGTGGAGATGAAAGATCAGAGAAACCAAAAGTACATGTAAAAATATATTCCGCTTACTCTCGTACGTGTCCCAACTGGTCAAACTGGGTGAAATCCGCATGCGTTTAAGATAAGATTGTCTTGGGGGGAACGCGCAGATAAGATCTTTTGAATAGGACCCCTCGAACTGTCGTGTAATGAACCGCTGATGCCACGGAACAACTTTTGATAGTTGTTATTCCTGTGCCTACGGTATTTGAAGTAAAATATGGGGTGTCCAGTTCTTCCCCTGTCCAGTTCTTCCCCGCCCTGACCCTAAAGTCGTCGGCGACGCGCTGAGGTACCCGATGACGCTCTTCCGGGGCCACCACGATGCCCCAATGTGGCGTTGAGGCCTCCGGTCAACGTGGTGCCCCGGGGACGTCTATCGCGGACCTCACGGCGTCGTCGACGGCGTTACCCAAATTTGGGCGACCAAACGCCTGTTACCAAATTTCGGGTGATGAATTTTTCGTCACCCAAAATTGGGCAACGAAGTTGCATCACCCATTTAAAGGGTGATGGTGGCGACCCATTCATTCTCAGTGATTGCGAAGCCTTCGTTTTCTTTGTATAACAACGAGCAGTTCTTTGTGGGGTCCTAAGTGTGTTCTTTCTGTTGACAGCTGCTATTTCTCTCGGACGACACGCTGCTGGCCGTGCTAGCTTATCTTCCCATCAGGGAGCTCTTCAGCTTGCGGACGGTGTGTCGCCGCCTCCGCGACCTCTGTGTGAAGCGGGACCTTTGGAGACATGCCCGAGTTGAAGGCAAAGGTTTGGTGCGTGCCGCACTGGCCCTGGCCCCTTGTCTGGGCCTCTTGGATGTCGCCGTTGAGCCGCTGGGTGACATTGCCTCCTTCGTGCGAAGCACGACCTGTG